CCAGGGGATTGCAGTCTACATCAGGGGAGATCCACTGGATTCCATTAGCCAGAGTGTTTAGCCCAACATAGTCGGTTATGATGCGAAAGTGATCCGAAGAAACTGTCGCCGAAGGAAGATAGGAATGTTGCGAGGAGAGTCAAAAAGAAAATAGATAATTCATATGAAGTAAGATTGTAAGAATAAGGAGTGGATGCACGAGTGCCTCTGTTTCCGCCGCTCAGCCATATCACTCAGTGTCTCCAAAAATCGATCACCTTTATCTCAAGATCTCCAACCAGAGAGCCCAATGCGAACTATGGGTGCGTGTGTCCTGGTCACAGTTTTCAACTCATCATGCCAGTGCAACCTGTTGGTTTGGTGAATACAAGAAAGCGATCTTCATTGAAAATCGGTCAATGACTGATTGAAACTTGCGGTATTTTCGGATTACCAATAACTGTATCCACAATTCGTTTTGGCTCTATCTGCTTTTGTCATAGACGCAGGGTTTTTATTCGGGCTTTGCACTATTTGTTTCCGAAATCTGCCCCAAGTACTGCAATTCCATATCACCGGTTTTTGAATGTTTTACCCAACGGTTATAATACTGATACTATTAAAAGAACTCTGGTACGCTTTGTGGCTAGCATTTTCACAGGCACGATGAAAAGTTGTGACTTTAGTCAGCTGATATACTGATAACAGCATTTAGCTGTTCACATTATCGTGTGTCTGATACGCCTTACTGCGTATTCTAAACAAAACGGAATCGAAATAATTCACATTTCCTTTGTGAACTTCAAGACCCTTTCTTTCTCTCTATCAACAGGAATGCACTACTCACTTCCGGTGATCAGTTAGATGAACAATCCCATACTCAGTCTACCTCCGATCCGTGAACAATGGTGACCAAATTCTATTTCGCCTGTTCCCCGAGCTTGGCAATTTGTTTGCAAACGTTTCATCACCAACCGAGGTGACCAAATTCTCTATCGTTTTCTGTTCACTTGGCCGATGCTGGTCCACTAACACATTTTGGCTATCTCAAAGTAATTGGTAAAATTTCGTGGTCACCAAGATCGTGTTATATTACAAGAAACTGGATTTCATGTGATAAAAGGAGGTATGCTTTCGAGGCTTTCAATACAATCGAAAGCTAACTGCCTGGTTGTAAGCTGATAGGAAATTTATCTTCCTCTCCCCATTTTATATAGGCAGAAGGGATCATGACCAAGAAAATAACAGGTTCATCATAACCCTTCTATGTGTATGTAATGCCAAAATTCCAGCTGTTCATTCAACTTCACAGTTGTTTTAGTACACTACGCATCCACTGATCACTTACAGCCGTCCCAACGTAGGACTTTGGCAGTAGGTCTAACAACCTACTCCTTTGCTGAGTTTCCCCTGGGTAATTCCACGAGCACATCAGTCATACAATTATGGGCGAGAAAATCCATCACGGTAGTACCCACTTCTGATGAAGTTCAAGTCCTATACTCGTTATCTCAACCATAAAGGAATTCTACAAAAATCAAAGCAGACCTCACACGGGGTGATTTGATGCTGTCTGTTCGGTCCAACCATTCTTACCGTGGAAACTGAACTGCATTTGTTTCGAAAGACGAACCAGATTGGAGTTGATATAGTAACAGACGACTTGATATACACCACCGACGAATCCGTCGGAAAAGTCCACAACAGAGTAGAACGGGAGTGGCTGAAAATCCGCCGGGTGTTCCGTGAAAATCATGTATGGTTGTGAGGTATATCGGCTCGATTCCGTGACACGACATCTGAGCTGTAAAGTGGACTTATAGATAGGAAGCTTGGGAACAAAATCCAGTTCTGCGTTATCTGCAAGTCGAGAGGAAAACAAAAAGAGCAACTG